ATGTGGAGATGTGGATTTTTGGAGATGTGGAGATGTGGATTTTTGGAGATGTGGAGATGTGGATTTTTGGAGAAGTGTAGCTCAAATAGCCACATTCTCGGAATTTGTGCACACAGGACAGGATGAGTGAGATATGATAGAAGAAAGGAGTTTAAATGTAACGACTTTGTCCGCATACTTTGTCAACTGACGCTTGGCTACATTTGCCCCGCATTTGCTTCTTGGGTACCTTCAGAATGAAAGAACAAAGATCAGTTAGCCCGGAATTGACCTAAGCCCAGCTGTCAGCCCCAGCCTGGCCCACGCTGCTGCGAGCACACAAGCTAGGCCATCCCATATTCGGCCGCTGCCGTTCGCACCGATCGAGGAAGGCTGCTGCACTTCTTCTTTATCGATGACCCATTCACCTAGGTGATACCTGACGACGACCGGCGTCGTACCTGGCCGCCGAAACAGTGCGTACATACTGACACACTAGACAAACACGTAGTCTGGACAGTTATGCCACTCGTGCTAGTAATGCCCTATCTCAGTCTTTCCGTGAAACCGAAATAAATCTAGCAACGCACCAGAATTCAAAAGTAGTGCAGCTGCTTACGCCCGTGTACGCTTACATGAAACTATTCTTGCCGAGCCGCCAAGGCGGCGCGCCACCTGGCAGTGCAGCTTGGAACTCAGGTGTCAGGCTAACACGTGCAATGTGTCGCATTTCTGTCATGTACTCTGCTGGGGTGGTTATGTAAGGAGACACATCAGGAATCATAGGCGACGTAAAATACGCATTCTGCTTGCAAGGCTGCTGCACAGATCATTATGGCCATCGCCAGCACTTTCAGACAGTTTAGATTATCAAGACATCGGAGGTGGGTGTCGAAACTACCGAAGGTGGCAGCTGTTCAAATGTATGCAATGCCAGTTTAAAAGGGTGCCTGCTGCTTCTAATGTATTTGAACTCAGCACTAATTGCAGAGAACGGAAACCAACGAGGGTGCCTGTAATACACCAAAACTATTTTTATGCGAGACAATAATACCTTAATATCACGCTTCTTGGGTGCTTTAGGTTAAAGGTTTGCTGAAAGTTTTTTGAGGCTTTGCGGTCTGTTTTACCGTTGTGTCATGTGTGCCATGTTTTTTTTTGTCTCTTGTGCTCTTGCTTAAAAAACGATGGATTACAGCTGATTTCTTTGAGCTCTTTGGGTTTAGTGTCCGCTGATAGCTGTTCAGTTTCTGCGGTCTATTTTACTGGTGTGTCATGTGTGCCAGCACTATCTGATTGTAAATGCGATATAAACTCAACTGATAACAAAATGCGTTCTTTTGCTAACACAAAAATTGTGATCGGTAGAAGCCTACCAAGTCAAGCCGACACCCCGACTAAAACTTCACGGGTTCTCGCGGATCAAATACTGGTACGCTAGCGGATGTAACAGTCGCGTCTCGAGTTGGTGACATCTAAACTTTGTTGATACCTGTTTACGTTTTCGTTATCAGTTATTGATAAAACGGCTACCAGCTAGCGATGCAGCGATGCGTGAGGCTGCTCTTAACACGCGCCCATGTGGCCGATTGAATATTTTTCGCTCGGGTGGGAGATCATTTTGATCCCTCTGAGACCAGCCAAAGGGAGGGGGAAGTTGGAGCCTACCGTCCCTACTGTGCATGATCAAACACGATGCCTTTCACACACCACCTGGAATAAAATCTGTACCACAATATGCATTAATGCAAAACCAATCAATATGCTGGTTCAAATTTTTTCACCGTTGCAATATTGCATATGCAAGCGGCGAAGCCTTAGGAAAGAACGTTCCAACAAGTGCAATGCACTGGTTTACGCTTGGCTCGCTGCAGTGCTTCGGTTTTCCCGTAATTGTGGGAATGATTTATCTCCAGTTAGACTACATGGATCTAATTGCCTTTTTTGCAGAAAATGCGATATTACACTGGCTTGAATTGATAAATCATGATACTAGGAAAAATATGAAATTCTCTATAACCTCACAGCTTTATCCCATATATATCCTTAAATCATGTCTGTACAAGCATAAGTTTATCAGGCATACCTGTATATCTTTAAGTTTTCAGTATTGCGATAAAAGTAAGCTATTAATGACTTATTTAGTTTATATAAGGTTACAACTTTATCGTTATCTTTATCGTATCATTTCGTAGCAGTGACTCTGTTTGACCCTTAGAAGTTCACAATGGCCAAAACACTGCGAATTCGTTTTTATTTTGATTATCGATTTTTAATAACCACCAAGCATCGCTAGACGCCAAGTATCTTTACCAAGCATAAAAGCTTGATAGGGATCGTTCTGGGTTAGTGGTCTCTTCCGAAATTTAATAAGTTTAAATAATGGTAATTTACCTCCCTGTGATTAATAAATCGAACTGAGCATTGAAAACTAACGCACAAAACAAAGTCTCCAGTGCAAAACGGCTTGGCTTGTATACCATTCTGACCTTCATACCTGACCCATAGTTAATGAACTCGGTCGTTATCATAACTTCAATTGTGTAATTGTCGAAACCGCCTAAGATATGCATGACTGCT